CTCCACCCTCTGCTTACAAACACATTGTTTCTAATTTTTATCCTTTTCTCATATTTTTTATTTTACCTACTTGCCTTTCTACTACCACTCCAATTCCCCTATTCCTTTATACTTTTTCTTCCTAATAAACAATATCAATTATGCATTTTGATCCTTATTTGTAATTTTAGTTTTTTGTACCACAGAAACTATTCTGTATTTACACTTATGGGTTCTATTTATTTCACTTAAGAGTAAGACCTCAATGTGCACCCACTTAGCTATAAATGACTATAGTTTTTTTGTTCTTTATGGCTGAGTAGTATACCATTTTATTAACACACACACACACACACACACACACACACACGCATCTTCTTTATCAGTCTCCAGTTATTGCACAGTCGGTCTGTTTCCTAGTTTTAACTATTGCAAATTGTGCTATAAACATGTGTGAGCATATATCATTGTGATCTGATTCTTTAAATTCTTTTGGGAAGACACCCAGCAAAGAAATATTTAGGTCAGGGTGACCAATGCTCCTGCAAGGAAGGCTGAACAAGCAAAATCGTAGAGTGCCCAGAGCTATTGATATCTATTAGTGACATCATTGTTAGATTGAGATAAATGGGTTATGTGAGAGGATACATAGTTGCTATGCACGTGTGGATGATGCAGGCAATGTTTCCAAAGGAAGAAAAAATCATTCTCTAATTAGAGATAGAACAGGCAAAAAAGCTGTGGATAATAATTAACATTGTCTTTTTAATAAAGAAGGTTTTTAATGTGGGAACCAAATTTGGGTAAGAGTCACTGGGACCTCAGCACATAGGCTATGCTAGACACACTTCTTTAAAAAGCCACTTGTGGGGTGAACTCTCTACAGCCTGCAGGCTCACAGCCTGCTTCTGCACAATCGACAGTGCTGTCCCCACCATACAGAGGCTGCAATAATTCACTTGCCTTCAACAGTGCTTGGAGGTTCCCTCTTCTCCCCGACCTTGCCAACACTTCCCATCTGTTGTCATTATGGTAGTACCTCCCTAAACTGGTTGATGTGTGCCTTTGGTTTGCTTTCTCTTATAACTAGTGATATCAAGCACCTCTACATAACTGTTGGCCATTTCCAGTTCTGCTTTTGAGAAATAGCCAAGTACTTCGACATTTATTTAATGAGGTCACCATTTTGCTCTTGAGTTTCATATGCATTGGATGTTAACCTGTTTTAAGGTTTTAATATATAAGTATTTTAAGTTTCCATATAGTGTGATTCGATCTGAATTGTTAACAAGTTCGTGACAAGATGATTGGATTCCTGGGGTGCTGTGCTCACTGGTGAGTTAGTCCCTCAGAATCACAACGTGGTGTATTGCTAGGAGGTGTGGCTCAGTTGGAGGGCCTGGGCCAATGGAGTTGGAGCTTTGGAGGGTGTATCTTTGGCAGGTGCTTGCTCCCCATGTTATATCCTGGGAACTATGAAGTGAAAGCCATGCTCCATCGTCCCCTTCTACTCTAGTTTCTGTTCCACAGCCAGCTGCCCGTGAACTGAAATCTGACAAACTACGAAAATGAGTTTCTCTGCCTTTAATTGAGAATGTCAGGCATTTGGTCCCAGCAAGAGGAAGGTGCATAGTACAGAAATTTGGCCCCACAGAATTGGCGGCCCCTCTTGACTACACTGACCATGTGCTTCACAGGTCTTCCTCCTGGTGCAGGAGGAAACATTTGGGGATGGAGATTACTGAAGAAGTTGATGACATAAGCAGAGTTGTGTTGGAATTTTGGGGTCTGCTGGTGACTGAACACAGAGCCTTCATGTTGAGTTTTAACTCCAGCCCTTTCAACATTTTTGTTATGAGATATGAACTTGCTATGTTCCTCGGTTGCCTAGGAAGTGCTTGAATTTACAATCCCTCTGGATCACACTGCCAGAGCACTGAGATTACAGTACGTGTCACTGCTCCTGGCCCAATAAGCAATCCTGGTCAGAGCCCAGAAAACCAGAATGCTAAAAGGAATTTGGAGACTAAGGCCAGGCTCATGATGTTTCAGCCGGGAATGAGGACTCTTGGAGTAGAGGCCACGTGCGCTAAACTCTGGCAAAACATTTGCCCACAGTTTTTCCAATATTTGCATGAAAGCTGAGTTTATAGGTGGTGGCCTAAGTGATTTGACTGAAGAACTTTTTTTAAACTAGCAGTTATAAACATTTTATTTTTTTGTATTTTTAGTGATATTTTTTAGGTATACAATACAGTTACATTCATCATTGGATCTTGTACCTTTACACGACATATTTTGGTTCTTATTTTCTCCCCATTCTCCTACCCTCCCTCTACCAACCCCTATTTGCAAAATCTTTGTTTCCATTTTTGTCATTTTCTCTCATTTTTTCTTTTCCCTTCTCACCTTTCCCCTATCCCACTTCCCCTATACTTTTACAACATTTCTTACCATTACACACTACCAATTACACATTGTGATCCATATTTACACTTTTATTTATGTCAGAGAAACTACATGTGTGTCCTATCAATTTAATTTAAGAGTATTGCCTCAATGTGCATCCACCTAGCTATAAATATCTATAGTTTCGCATTCTTTATGGCTGAGTAGTACTCCATTTTATTAAAAAAGAAACCTCTCCATCCAGTCATCAGCTGATGGGAAATTGTGATGTTTCCAAGTTTTATCTACTGGATAAATAACTTTTAAGGAAGCTCAATATTCATGCTGTGGGATGGTTTCTGTTGGCTGCTTTAGGTAGACAGCCAGAAGCAAAAGAAAAAATAATTTGAAAAATTGATTCCCTCCCAAAAAACTAACTATAAAAATGTTGAAACCAAAAGAGGTGTGTTGATGAAGAAATCTGCACCATTAAAAAGATGCCAAGTATTCTGAGACAGGTAAAGTAGAAACACACTGAGGGCATTGCAGGAATCAGAAAGTTCTCGCTCATCCCAAACTCCAAGGTTCAGAAAGGTAATATTTTACTGTCATAGAGAGCCCCATCTAGGTTAGTGGCCCCTGTAATTCATTTCACTGTGCTTAGGCCTTACCAGCAGAAGCTACTGCATAGGGTTTAAGTACCCTGGCCACTGATAAACAAATCTTCGTACTTTACACATGATGCTAGTTGTTAAGACAAGCAGAATTCAAGACTGTGTGGGTTATGGAGGCTTCCAGAAATATTTCAGAGGTTGTGAGATGCCAATGTGTGTGCCCTTGAGAGCTCAGCATGTGAAGCTGTGGGGAGGAAGCCAAAAGTGCGGCAGAGACCTCAGTAAGTCAGAGGAACAGAAACTTGCAATGTTTGCCAAGGAAAGCCATATGTAGCAAATGGAAACCCAAAAGAGACAACATATATGCTTAAACCAGAAAGCTTTTTAGGTGGATCCAAACCAGCTCTCTACAATTTATCTCAGAATGGTGCCCCTTGTGTGCCTGACATGGTGTTATGGGACTTTATGACTGTCTTACTTAGTTCTGATGTTTCTATAGTCAGATTTCTTATAATTTACCTTTTCCTCTTTTTTGAAATGGGAAACTTTCCAAGTACCATTATATCTATCTTCGGATTCTGCAGCTTGTTTTACAAATTTTATAGAGGCTGGTTGGTGAAAGTTTGCAGTCAGTTTCAGAGGAGACTTAGGCCTTGGGCATCTCTTAAGCCAATCCACTTCACAATAAGAGTAGTCCTAATCTCCAGCTTTCACCTGTAGTCGTTTTTTAGTGCATTCACCTCAGGGTTCATGGACCGATCAGCAATCGGTTCCCTTTTCCCTCCCTTTTTCTTTAATTCCTCTTCTACTCTAAAATAAACAAGGATTTTCCTCATACTGAAAAGTACTAAAAAGATTCTGTGTTGTAAAAATTTTCCTCCAAACAAAAGGAAAATATGAAGTGTGGATTGTGTTTGGCAGGGAGCACTCAGAGAAAAGAGAGCTGACACCAGCATAGCCACTTTCTCTCAAGAAATTAAGTCTCCTCCTCAGAAAGCCTCCCTCTCACCCTTCCACCTTTGCCAACTGGTAACCTTTCCTATTCATTCATTTCTCATCTTTTGGTTAATACTAGTTGTAGGATTATCATACACATGTGAGAAAGATCCACTTTAACACATATCTGATTTGAAATACAGAGCCGTTTTCAGAAGAAAAGTATATTCAAGGAGCTTGTTTCCTCTGAAGATGAGACCTGGAGTTGCTCATGTAGTTAGATAGGTGAATTTTTCCCAAAATTGAATTTACCTAACCTTCAGATATAGCATGTGAAAAGAATATATTAAAGCAAACACATGATGTGCTTAGAACGTATTCTGAAATGACTTTTCCTTTGTCTCCTCAATCAGCAAGCTCTGGTGATAATTCTTGATGCAAAGTGCCAAGGCTTTCCCTTCATGTACGAGGGAATAATGCAGTATTTGTCATCTGTGCTTATTTTATTTCACTTACTATGATGTTATACATTTCCATCGATGTTTTCAGAAATGAAAGAATTTGATTTTCTTGGGTTTTTTTTTGTTTGTTTGTTTTGTTTTTTGGTACTGGGTATCAAACTCCGATCCTTGTGTTTGCAAAGCAGGTGGCAGAACTGCTGGGCTAAATCTCCAGCCAAGAATTTAATTTTCTATTCCCTAATCTATATTCTTTCTCTATACACACTACATTTTATTTACTCATTGACTACTGTAAATAATGGGGCACTAGATGTTAATTTACAGTTTTCCCTTCTAATAAAGGTATGGACCATGCTTCTCATTGTGTCTGTGGAAACAAGACTTTTGGGAAAGATCAAGAAAAGTCACAGTTATTCTATTTGAGATTTCAGGAGCAGAGCTTTCTAGCAAACAAGGTTTCTCTAGGTACCAGATTTCTTATCATGAAGAGAAGGAAAGTATTTTGTTTCAAAAGAAAGGGATGCATTTGGGGAAGCAGCCACACCAGTATTACCTGTCAGCTGTGCACGTGGTTGCTCCAGGAGACAGGTGGAGATCTTCTGGCATCTAAGAACTTCACCCCTCACTGAGATTGCAGAATCCTCTTCCACGCCATCTTCACATCCTTGTTTCTCAGAGTGTAAATGAGTGGGTTGAGCACAGGGGTGATAACACAGTAGAAGAAGGACATGAACTTGGCCTGAGTGTGATTTTCCGGAGGTTGTAGGTACACATAGATGGCAGGACCAAAGTACATGGTAACTACCAGCAAGTGGGAACTGCAGGTGCTGAGTGCCTTGAGCCGTCCTTCAAATGAAGGCAATTTCAGTACAGCCCTACAAATGAGGGTGTAGGAGATGACCACCAGCAACGGAGCCACCCCTGAAAAAGGAATGGCTCCAATAGCCAGTATTAGCTCATTAGCAGAGGTGTCCCCACAGGCCAGCTTGATGAGCACAGGCACCTCACAGAAGAAGTGGTCCAGGGTGTGATGCCCACAGAGGGGGAGCTGGAGGGTGAGTGTTGTCTGTAGCAGAGCATTGGCCAGGCGACTGGACCAGGAGACAGCTGCCATCTGCACACAGACCCAGGGACGCATGATGAGAGTGTACTGGAGGGGCCTGCAGATGGCCACATAGCGATCAATGGCCATCATGGCCAGCAGGATGCATTCAGTGCAAGCTGCCCAACTGAAAACATAGGCTTGTATGATGCATCCCCAAGCAGCAATGGTCTCGTCTGGTCCCCACAGTTTGGCCAACAGCTGGGGCACAATAGCACAGGTTACACTGAGGTCCAGCAGAGAGAGGTTGTCCAGGAAGAAATACATGGGTGTCTGGAGTCTGGGGTCCACCAGGGAGAGGAGGATGATGGAGCTGTTGCCTACCAGGGTGAGGAGGTAGGAGACCAGGACCACTGCAGAGAGGGGCCTCTCCAGCCAGGGAAACTCTGAGAAGCCCAGCAGGACAAAAGTGTTGGGAAAGCTCACATTTCTCCTTTCCATTGTATATGCTTTATATATACCTAGGAGGAAAGGGACAGAATTTGATGATATGAATGACTTTTCACTTTCAATGACTTTAGAGCAGCATCCTGAAACTTTCTCCTGTGGTGGTTAATCTCTCTCTCTGTGTGTGTGTGTGTGTGTGTGTGTGTGTGTGTGTGTGTGTGTGTTTTAGAGTAGGAAGAATTTATTAAGGGAAAGAAAGCTTCTGTCTAAGGAAGACAAAAGGGTGACCAGAAAGTGGGTTGTCCACCCACCCTACTTCTCAAAGATGTTTTATACAGCTAAACCATGTAGTGAGGTGGGTACAAAATGGTATAAGACTATAAGACCGAGTGGAAAATTACAGGGTGGGAATGAAGTGGGGCAAAACCACGACCAACCAATAAGATTACCAGTACAGTCACCCAGGTAATATTGATTTAATTGGGGTCAAATGGGGGAGCAATTTACTCAGCAAGTGTACAAGGATTGTCAGTAAGGGTGGGGTTCAGGGACATTTCCTGGAAAGGGTGGGTTAAGAGCTTGACCTCTCACCCAGGTTATTCATACCTATTTAGAATATCAATCACTGATATTTATCCTAAGGAGAAGCACAAGGGTATAGTAATTTCTCTACTTTTACAATTTTGACCTTCAGTGAATGTGTCTTGATTGTCCTCCAAGTTGGCTCCTCCTGGCCTGGCACTGTCTAACTGCCTACAAAATATCAAATTAACTTAGCTATTTGCAATATTCCTCCTCTGAAGAAGTACCCCTAACTGCTGTGAGGGGGCAAAGGCTGAAGACAGCTCTGGCTACTTCCAGCTGAAAAGGATCATAGTTGTGATCAGCAGTTAGAGTTACTCTACAGAGGGTCTATCTAAAGGCCTTCCATAGGTGCCTGGCACTGTCATATTGGTAGTTGCATAGCTTTTGAGTCTAGAGGAAGCAAAGCCAAAGAAACAGTTAAGAATGCATTGACCAAATTATAAGGTCAGCAGAATTGCTATCAATATAGCCCACAAAGAGGAAGAGGAGAAGGTCCAGGGAACTTCAGAATCAAACACAAAAGTCATATTGTATAGTTTAGCAGTTATGAGATGTTTACAGGGCCGAGCTAATGGATCCAGGTAAAAGAAGTCTAGCATATTTGTCTTTGGTACAAGTTGTATGACCACTTGCAGTTTGGCAGCTTCTAGGAAAGAATAAATAAAACTTTAAGAAATTAGAGTATGCATAATCTAAGCATCAGCACACTACAATGAAAGGGCAGGTTGGGGAGAAAGTCACACTTAGAGATTGAAATAGTGATTGAACTTGCTGGTCTTAGATTTTTTCATTAATAGAGATTGTCTATAAGTCTGATACTTTGTCATAAGGCTCTCTAGTTTTAGCTATGAGACAATTTGAAGAACTAATTTCACTAAGAAATATAAAATTCTAGCTGAACTCTCATAGATTTCACCATAGTTTTTTCCTAATGATCCATAACCATGGTCAGCTACTGGTAGAGCTGGAAACTGCTAGAAGGGGTCAGTGACGGGAGTTCTTTTTATATCTGACTTTATTACTGTGGCATTATTTTATACCTCTTTTGGTTATTCTCTTCTGCTGGGAGTTTAAGACCTAGCTAAAGTGAGACCTGTGCCAACAAACATGAACCTCTTGCTATCTATCAAGATCATTTAAGTCTCCTCAGTCATAACCTTGGAATCACGCATACAGCCTCTCAGCTCCTATCACTGTCAATTGCCAGGATGGGCCATGGCCTTGCTTAAACATGTTGCTGTCAGTGAAAGCATGGGAGACTTTTCCCTCATGGTGACCCTCTTTCTTCACACAGTATATTTGTCCTCTATTGCCCAGCAATTTCCCTACTCAGGAGGTTGAGTGACTTTCCAAAGATGTAGGATACTATAGGAAAGGTTCCTTTGTGTCCTGGATCTTGTAGACCTTAAGGGGCCAGGGCCAAAATACTGGCTATCCTCAGAGCCTAGTTATCTTTCTTTTTTTTCTTCAATTTTTTTCCTTTTATTGAGTTTATTGCTACAATCTAGGTATACAATACAGTTGCATTCATTATTGGGATCCTGTACCTTTACATGATAGGTCTTGATTCTCATTTTCCCCTTGTCCCTGCCCTCCCTTCACCCCCTTATCCCCTCCCCATTTATAAACACTTTATTTCCATTTTTTCAATTTCTCATATTTTTTCCTCTCCCTTATTACCTTTCCCCCACCCTTCCCACTTTCCCTACACCTTTAGCCCTTTACTTCCTATTTCACATTATTAATTATCTCATTAGGATCCTGTGGACTGTTATAGTTTTTTACACTAGAGAAAAAAATTCGGTATTTCAGTTAAAGAGATCTCTGTATGAACATTAAAAATGGGGAATCCTCAAATAAAACTAAAAAGGAAAGTAAAAGAAAAAAGGCAATGATGTAAGATTAAAATAATCCTTAATTCTGAAGATGAAAATGGTCCCTGAACATATTTAATTTGCTTCTTGCTCTTGTAGTTTTATCTTATTCTTTTTTTTTTCATTATTTAAAGAATACTTTATTAGTTCCTATAATCAAACCCACATAGATATGACCTTACATATTTAATACAGTGCATTACCACTGTACTAATGAAAATAATTAACATTTCTAGACCAATATGGCTGTCAATTTCTGTACAATGCCAACTCAACACAGTAAATTAAGACAACTTTTTCCAAAGTTGATAGCACAGTTAAAGTTTCCAAAAATTTTCAGGCTAATAATAGCAGCATGTTATGCATCGATAGCAGCAACAGCTTTTCCAGGTTCTGCAATCATCTGAACAAAATTATAGACATTCAGCACATTCCATTAAAAAAACAAAAATGAAAAAACAAAGAAAAGAATAACATACAGAAAACAGCAAAGTTCTGTTGCTGTTGTGATACCTGGCACCATTTTTTTATTAGCATCTTAATCATCATCTGGAAAGAGAACATTCTAGAGTAATATCATTAAATGTAGCTCTGATAAAGCATGGTCCCTACTACATATCATAAAGCAGGTACCAGATATTTTACATTCATAGAGGTATGATACAGTACCGTCCTACATCAATAATACTAGAGTCGGTTTCAGTTTGAAATTTGTTTTGTCTGCAAATAAGATTACTACCCCTGCTTTTTTCTGGGCTCCTGTCACATGGAGAATTGTTTTCCATCCTTTCACTTTCAGTTAACTTTCTAGTTTTGGTTTCGAAACTTTAGTTGTTGAAAACCCAGAAGAGAAGATCAGTGATATTAATGGTACAGTATGAGCAGTAAGCTTAACTATTGTCTGGACATTAAGCACTTTGAAGAATAAAGCACAATTAGAGGGTCTGTTATTTCTTATTAACCATGGTTGTTCTAGTAGTTGAATCCCTGCAGAATGTTAACAGAAAATAGTTATATATTATAGATAAATTTAAGATCAAGAGCCACACATAATATTTTATCATGAAAATCATGGTAATATTTTCCTTGTAACACTTTCGTGTTCATCTTAGCATGGAATAATCGTTCAGTCAAACACCTCCATCTATCATAATACATTAAATGATATAAAGAAACCTCTTATTTGTTATCCTTTAGTAGGGTGCCATCTAAAGAAAACATACATATTGGCCTATAAATGTACCTTAGGAGTTCATAATGTCTAACCTCTAAGTTTAGTGGGTGGCGTTGTTTCAATTGTTTGGCAACTGAGCATCCCTAAGTGTTGTGAAACATATAACATACATCACACAAGTTTTCTAAGAGAATTATTATTTGATTGGTTATCTCATGCTGGCTTGATATGTAGCTCTTATTACAAGTAGCTGGAGTGCAAGACAAATGCAGATAACTGAGTCACACATATCATTACCATAAATATCCTAGAAGACTTGTACACGCAGAAGGTATGACTATATACACTGTGAAATAACAATGAGTATCATTTACATGAAACCCCTTGTCTCATAATTTTGTTTTGTGTCGAGTATTTTAAATAAAACCTTATTGTTTTCCCATAGAAAACTTAGCCATTTGACCATTACTGTTGTATACATATCACAATAATATTTTTAGCAATACTCAGTGCTTCTGCCACCTACCTTACAAGCATAAGGTCCCAAGTTTTATCCCCGGTACAAAAAATAAAATAAAAAAATAAACATAGAAAATAAGTTTAGCAATGCATTTTACACAAGGCTATGGAAATTATTGGGGTCCCCTTTGTGAACAAAGGCTGGAATAAATATTTTCCAGCCAGCCACTCCTTTATTTGCCAAGGGGAGTCCTGTCCAGTAGTTTTACTAAACCCGAGTCTTTTTCAATTATCTAAACAAATTTTTATTTTTGTTTTTTGTTTTTGTAATAGGGATAGAACTTTGGTCCTTGTGCTTGCAAAGCAGGTGGAGGAAGCACTGAGCTAAATCCCTGGCCCTTGACAATTTTTTAGATGACTTAGGAAAGCCAGATCATACCAATTAACACACTATTTTTGACCAATGAAAGATCTTGAGTTATTATATATAGACAGCAATGTGTAATGTATTTGTAAAACCAGTTGATATTATTTGGATCATCTGGCAACCTGGAGGAAGTATGCCTTTCCATAAGCTGACTTGAGTTACAAGCAAACATCTTAAAAAATCCAAAATGTCAAAAGAAATTCAAATGAAACAGCTATTGATAAGTTGTAACAAATTGAACAGACAGACACAAGCACACATGACAACTTGTTTATATATCATAGTACACTCAGATGTATTTGGCCAAGTTGAATTTTAATAACTTTTAATCTGCAAATATTTAAAACACACAACTTAAAATTAAGAAACAAAAGCTGAAACAAAGGCCAGAATTCATGCAACAAAAACCAGAATCTATTAAACCAAACAAGTTACAATGTATGAAGCAAGAAGACCAAAGTTAGACTCTAGGAAAGAAAACTCTTACCTTCAACCAGCAATCTTGGTGGAAGACCTCCAAAATTATATAGGGGGT